TTTTTTAGATCTTACGTAATAACTTGAAAACTTTGTCGGAGTATAGCACCGTATGACGTAATTCCATTGGATTTGTTCGTCTGAACTTTAAGAGTGAAAGTTGAGTGTTCACGGAAGGTATTCCTGTTTAAACTATTACGTAAATATGTTGTTTGTAATGTAATAATAACACATGTTTGTTGTATAATGTAAAGATCTCCTAACGATGTAAGAAATCTACTACAATGTTTAAAATTACTATGATGAGAAAGGTAATTAGGAATTTATTCCATATTATTCGACTACGTTCAGCCTCGTTCCTTTCTACACAAGTTTCCATTATAGTTACTGTCCCTACCGACTTCGCGGGGCTAGTGCCGCAGATGCCGGTCGCAACGTCCTACGACAATGTCCGGACATCTCGCCTAAGGCCCTCATCTAGACCGCTACTACGAGCGGCGATTTTAAGCAGCGATGCAAACGCGATGCACGCACGCGACATGGATACAAACGCGCGATTGTGCGGTTGTGTGACTGCGATTGAAATCCCAAGTGTAGCGATGCAATCGCGCGTCTGCATCGCTGCTAAAAGTCGACGTATTTAAGACGCGCTAAGCTGCGCGCGAGATGAACGCCCCGGCCACGTGCTACAATGGCAGACGAACATGTTCATCCGTACCGTTAACACAAATCCCGGCGAGTCCACACCCAAGTCCGGGTCCATCAGAGACCCGTAGTCTCCCTGAAACGCCCTATCTCTCGTGTCAGTAGATAGGTGTTAATACATGCTATGCATAGGTATATCTGCTTAGTTATATAATTTTGTTAGTAAAACATACACCTTGTTACAATATTCTGCCGCCTGCATACGTACTTAAATTATACTATACTATATTAAAAAACTCTTACGTACTTACGGTGTTTTTTATGTATACGTAACGTGGATAATCCATAAGTATTGTATAATATATAGCATATATATAATATATACATATATTATATATATATAGCATCTACATATATATTATATGTATATTATAGCCCTTATCCCTCGGCTATATTGAATGTGTTCTTAAAACGATGATATTTTTGTTTGTGTGCCCAATACAGATATAACCGAAGAGTAAATATAAACATACAATATGACAAACTGTCATTATATAAACATATATAGACAGTTTGTATAACTTTGTAAAACAACACAATTTACCATGTGGTGCAAATGAATGCCTTTGTCTCATTGCTAATTGCCATTACACTGGTTCGCTTAATAACAGAATTGTTCTTAGTCCGAGCGTAATCGAGTTGGCACAATACTTGTCTTGTTTAAAATTTCTTCACAATACTCGACCTGTTCTTGAGGCGGAATTGTTCGAACTTAGCTATATTGGTGAAAATAGGTGAGCTGACATTGTACTTACCTATTTAGTTGTTGTTTTGCAATAAACTGTTATACTCATTTAACAAAAGCGGGTCTAATAATTTCAACTGGTGATCATATCAATATGACAATAAACATTAGCAAAAATTAAATTCGTGAGCTTATTTGTTGTTGACAATCAAAAACCCTACACATAATACATGTGTTTTCTTACAAACGTTTTCACCCTATCATTGCATAAAAAGTATCTCATTTAAACTATTATAAATCTTTTATTGAGTGATTTGGCGTGTCGAAACTCATTATCAGTTTCAGTGCAGCCGTCGTTTCATATCCTAAATGGTCTATTTTCATTCAGTAATGTCGAGTATTATAACGGTTCTAAAAATATGAACCTATTATTGTTTCTCACGAATTTTTGACATGCCACCTGCATGTTGAAAGGCGGCGGCTAATTGGTATCATCATTTACCATCTATTTCCACAATTTATAAAATATTTTTATTAATCATCAGAGCACGGAATCGGCAGAGTATATGCCTAAACTTAATATTAAAATCCCGGAATAATTAAAAATAGACAAAAGTATTTGTATCTTTAACCGACTTGAAAATAGGTCGGTATTTGTCTGTATTTTGTGTGTTGCGGTGTGTGTCAATTGGTCTGCATTTTTTGTGTGATGTTACGCAATTACTCTGACATTTGTGAACCGATTTCGATTAAACTTTTTTGTTACAATTTTTGTTACATATCATTCGTTTTGACTACGACTTCCGCGCGTTTCTGTTAAGCTCAGGGCACACAGCGGTACAGCGAGATAAGCGGTCCGTGGGTGAACCTGCGGGAAGCGAATGCGTACCGGGGCGTGCCACACAGCGGTCCCAAGCGTAGTTCGCGGCGAAAGCGTATATAGCGGCCAGTGTGACTCCAAGAGCGTCCACGTCTCATTGTCAACACAGATTTTAAAAGAATAAACCACATCGCTATCGGATAATGATTTTTTTCGATTAATGAGAGAAAATTTTCTGCTTCTATTAGCGTTACGGAAGCAACACAAAAAAATTCGGAGTCATACTGGAACTTAATAAAAACACACTCAAGAGATGTAAAAAAATATAACGTCAAAGCCCGCTATAGCCCTGCTCCCGGACCGCGTGGACGGTTGCATAGAAATCAATGATATACAACTCGCACGCCCGCACCCAGTCCGCCCTTTTGTCATAGCCACAGACATATGTCATAGCACCGCCGCGCGGCCACCGCTCGTTTCAGTGTGTCAGGATTCATAATGAACTCATACAGTACAAAAATTCCCGCGCCCGGAACGCACTCGCGGGTGGCCAGAGCATTACCTACCAATCGTAACGAACACAGCGAAAGCGGATAAACAAACTTTTGAAGATTTTTTTTTTATTAAGAAAGTTATAACATAGGAAATGAAACTATTTTTCCGGATTTAAATCGCGTATATTTGTTTTTTCAAACAAACCGACGTTTCGGGCCCTTTACAGGTCCCATGGTCACGGTTGACTGTTTAAATTATAACAGTTACAAATTTTTTCTCCTAAGTACACTGTTCAAGTAAAGTACTTGCTATTTACTATTTACACATAAAAAACAATAATTGCCACATTTCCAAGAGACATATGCAAACTCCCTTGAAATTTAAATAAAATATATGTCCAAAAAGAACAAAGAAATAATTTACTAATTCCTCTATATTAAATGTCATGCTCTCCTATGCTCTTTGAGAAACGTCGTACAGTTATATTTATTTCATAAATAAGCACATACGTAATGCAAAATCCCAAAGATATTGCTACAAGCTATAGCTAAGAGAGCGTGATAAACCTTAATGGGCCAGCAAACTGTACTTCGGAACAAAGGCCTATGTAATAGTGTTATTCTGCTGCTCGATTTATCTGATGAGCGGTCACATTGCCCGAATATATTGGACGGTGCTGTCGGCGCAATCGTTAAGCGAACGCTGTTATACACATATTGTCTTGCCGCAAAGTTACTAAGGGTGGGTCACACATTCTCATAAAAATAAATAAGCGTCCATGTGCAAAATGTGTATAAAAACTAAGTACATACTTGTAGTATGTACGCACATAGTAGCTACTAATTTTACAAGCAATAAAATTTTAAATTATTTAAAGATGCAATGTGTAGTTTAAGCTTTTAGTTTTTAACATGGACTTTATATCAAAAACTATAAGTAATTACGAAATATCTGCTCACATCGTTGACAAAAATGCCTTTAGCCATTTCAAGTGGTTTTTAGCTAAACATTTTGAAATGTAGAATTGACAAATGTGATCAAATATTTATTTTCAAAGAGAGTTTCGTACTCCTTCTCAGGGGAATCTGATGTGCTTTACGAAAATATATTTAATAATTTTAATGTTTTCAAGCGCAATTTGCTTTCTTGTGAAATGAAGAGATCTTAAATTTTGAATTTTGTTTTTATAAAATATGAAATGAATATCTGATGTTAGTCTACTTCCTAATTAATGTAGGTGACTCGTATGGGGTATCTATAAATGAATTAATTAATCATATTTGAACTTGCCAGTATGACCCTTATTTGTCCGGTGTTTATATAAGTGTTAATAATTAGGATGTATATATTAGAATTTATACGCTTAGCATTCTAAGTGTCGTATTCTAGAACTCTACTCAATGCTCAAGTCAGGACTTGAGTATTGCAGTGAGCACTGGAAATCATACTCAAGTCCCTGCTGTTAGGGTCGTATTTCCAGTGCTTGTGTTTCCAGTGCAATCCTCAAGTCCCTGCTGTTAGGGTCGTATTTCCAGAGCTTGTGTTTCCAGTGCAATCCTGACTTGAGCATTGAGTAGAGTTCTAGAATATGACCCTAAGATTTTTTTAAATCCTAAGTGACGGGACGAACAAGTCACACATCTGGTGGCAAGCGACACGCCTATCCACAACAGTTGCAGTGCCACTCAGAGCTTTAAATCGCAAAGATCTTAAGGGTACTGCCACTGCGCCCGTCACTCTGAGACATAAAATGACAAGTCCCATGTGCCTGTACTTTCGCCAGCACCCTGACTCTTCCAAACCGGAACGCAGGAATACTCACATTACTGCTTGGCGGCAGAAATAGGTAATAACGACGCGTGGTGTGGACAAATGCCTTAATAAATTTACAATTTATTACCAAAAAAGGCTAAGTTGACAAACGACTATTTGCACGCCACACGCACGCAGTATAACCTACTTCTGTATTCTACATTGAACAGAAGTAGCCGGGTTTTAGGGCGGCGCGTGGGTCTAGTGACTGTCACTGATGTTAATACTTAACTATTCGACCTCTTGGATTACCACCTAGTAAAACATTTGATTTTACTGCTTTACTTACCTATCCTTGATGGTTGTAGGCACAACAAAGACAAGTCATAAAAATCGAAGTACGCACTTACACTACAAAGATTTATAAAAACTCTTTAAGAAACGAATGAGGTCTTCGGCTCGTATTGTTATAATCTAAAATCCTTCGATTTCTCAGATACCCGTGTACAACGTATGTTTCGTTTAAGACAGCTCAGAAGGTAAAGAACGAAAATTAGACTATTACATTTCTTCCTTTGTTAACTGGTGTTTGTTTTGTTCCAGCTTGGACCGAGACCAACCCTTCTCGTTCCAAATCGGCGTTGGTCAGGTAATTAAGGGATGGGATCAAGGATTGCTTGATATGTGCGTTGGTAAGTAACGGTTTCATTTTAATAAAGCGTCAACAAAGCTTGTTTTCACTTCTAACCAGTTAGGTGTAGCAAATAGAACTACATGTAAGGACCATATTGGTATTACGGTGTAGGTATCATGATCAATCTTTTAGTAAAATATCTATCTCAAATGTTAAGCAACGAGTAGATATCGACCTTTACAATGAATGTGATTTTACAAAATTTCAACTTTTTGGGAATACGCAAAATTATATTTGAAGTCGTGACATTTTCATAATATTTCATTTATTAAGAACTTAAAGTACCATATCTTGAAGTACCAATAAAATTAAATAGTATATCTTGAAGTACTTAAAGTTTGTGCCTTGTTAGTCTTGGATATTATTGATGAAACATTCAGCTTTACAACTGCAAAAATATATATTTTTTTAATATTTAACAATTTAAAAACATTATTTACAAGAACTAGTCGCCATAAGGTAACTTTTTATTATCATTAAGTACCTAAGCAACGTGTTATGACCTTATGAAGATTAAGTCGTTTTAATTGTGAAGGAAAGTCCTCAAAGTGATGAAGAAAGCGTTTGTGAAAATTTAATAATTTTTAATGGCGATTTACGGAACGAAAATGGCTCAATTGCTAATCCGTAACTTTTTCGCCAACAGTGGCGGCGTGTTGTCTTTGTAAGTGCGGATTCAACACTAAATGCGGCGTTGATATTCCGACGCGGAAGTGGCATTTTCAAACTGAAAGAACAAAATGAAAGAGACCAATATAGTGAATCAGTGCTATTCGAGCTTTAATAGGTCAGTTTCAGATTAAAAACCTTGTCCACAATGATTTTTAAAGTCGTGTTACGGTAGGTATAAACCCTTTTTTTCTATATCTATGGTATAAAATCATTTTATGCATTCTTTTAATCGTTTAACTTTCATTGTAAAAGTGCGATAGAATAGGATATTTATAAGTATAACATGCTCCAACTATTTTATTTCGGACTGTTGGTTCCACTGCCTGGTTTCACTAGTGGGTTCAGCAGGAATTTGAAATACTTATGTAGAATCAAATTGAGAAATAAATTAATGTTCCATTTATGGTGGTGCCAACGATTTTAGTTTTAACGAGTAAATTTCCTTGTGTCAGTTGTAATTTTATTTTGTATGTACAAATCTTTAATGTATATAAATGAAATTGTGTAGGTATGCTTGTCGAAGTTGTTCTAAACAATTACCAATTTCTTTATGGATGAATTCCCAGAAGAGAGTACCGTATCTTACAATAGAAGTAGGGACAAAAGTAATTGCAAATCCTAACAGGTTCGCTCATGTTAAGCTATCGTGTGGATGTATGTTTGAAAATCCTCCTGAACCAACCAGTGAAACTAAGCAGAGGTGTCAACAGGCCTTTTTTTTTTTTTTTTTTCATCAGTCCTAAACCAAGCAGTCCTGAAAGCGCACCCTGTATAACACAAACTAGTAATTCGCCCTGCACTCGTCTGGACTCAACTGAGTTGCCATTATCTCTTTGATCTACTATCTATGTGACACACTGCAATGACTGTAGAAAAAGCTTTAACGTTCTATTTAAAAATAATAAAGCTTGAGTGGACTAACAATGATTCGGTCTTTAGTCTGACCTACATATAGTCTAAGAGATGTCTCGACGTTTTATTCAATCTTCTATCTAAAATAATCAAAGATGCTATGACACAGGTTTACATCAAATTCATAACTGTAAATCACGCGATCACAGATTTATCTACTTATATGTATAATATTATATTACAAAATACAATTTAATTTGGGAAATGGAAGATAATTAAATAAAAACTGAAATGAAAACTTGATAACACCTGACGAGATAATAACAATCGCAAAATTTTTGCAGCTTATCAAGTAATCAATGGCGTGAATAACGGCTTGCGGTCAATTTTCAACTCATGTGGATGGCAGTCTCTAACCGGAACGTCGATACAAAGGCTAATGAAGCCACATTATGTTTATTAACTGATCGCCACGCCACAGCGCCTGCATTATACACATGCCTTTAATATGTTTTTTTATTACAAATACCGTTATTGCTCATTTGATTAGTTCACTTATTCAACGATATAAGCAGTCATTGCTAAAGTTTGCGTTGACCAAAACTAAATAGGCAAGCTTAATAAGTTCAGTATGTGCACATAGGTGTCGCTTAAGTACTTCTCATGCATAATTTTGACCGCTGTAACTATCCTTTGCTCCGAACTTGAGTTTTTTCCCAATATGCGAACGTCTAATTAACCCATTTTCTCGAGCCGCAACCGAAACTAGCATAGATTTTCGCTCTATTATATATATAAAGCTACAAGTTTAGACTCACTTAGAAAAATAGAACGCATACTTCCATATGGTAGAAAAAAGATATTTATACCATTGTACGCGGATAGGCTCCAAGGCAAAAAATCAAATATGAAAAGACCTGAGTGTGGAAAATGTAAACGAGTGATCAACGGCCTGCAAAAACTATATTACGTGGGGCGGGATTTTTGTGCGTTTTTTTGAGATACACCCTGGTTAAATTCCGCGGGAACTAAAAAATGTTCGAAATTCAAATAAACAAGATGGCCGCCATACAAATTTCAAAGCCTCCTATCACGGAAACTATTAGATATAGGTAGAAGGTGCTTGAAGGAATGTCATAGAGGGTAACACTAGTCAACTGCCTGGGCTAAAAAAATTCAAGATGGCTATTTCAAAATGGCGGCCGAAGAAAACTTGCTTCGATCCGGCTGAAAATTGGCATGCGAGGGTCTTTAGGAGTCCTTAATCATAATTTGGGGTCAAAAATTTCATTTCACAATTTTTTTATATGGCTGCCATATCAGTGTTTTTTCGTTAAAAATAGCTACCGAAAGAGATTTGCTCTTCTTCGACTGAAAATTGGTATGTGAAGACCACTAGAAGCCGGATAATAATTTGTGCTCAAAATTTGTTTTTCGCCATTTTCAAATATGGCCGTCATAGAAGCGTTCGTTGGCGGCAGAAAAAAATTGCTGAACCCTTTGAAAATTGGCATATGGGGGTTTCTAGGAGTGCTTGATAATAATTTGTGATCAAAATTGGTTTTTCGCTATTTTTCAATATGGCTGCCATAGAAGTGTTTTTTGGCGGCAGATGAAAATTTGCTCTAATTCGATTGAAAATCGGCATGTGGGGACCTCTAAGGGTGTTTAATAATAATTAGCAGTCAAAATTTACTTTTTGCCATTTATCGATATGGCCGCCATTAAAGACCTATGTTTTTTTTTTTAAAGTCGTAAGTTCCGAGGCCGCAGCTCGAAGCGTCCGCACGCCACCTTACGTAGGTAGTATACGGGGACTAGATTTCACAATTGTTCAAAATGTAAGGCATACTTCCCGATGTAGTCCAAATAATATCTTTATACAACTAATGTCTTTATATAGCGTTGTTGTATCTTGACCGTCTCTCTGTTAGATTCTTTTTTATTGGAAGCTATGCCAAAAGAGAAGTATTTAGGGAAAAAATGTCAGATAATCACTTCAAATTTCTGATCCCAAACTAGGGAATTTCCTGTACTATGAGTACCAGAATAACGATAATTCTGAAGGCAATACCCAGAATACCCTGACCAGGACCAAATTAAAAAAATTTTTTTTTTCATAAATTGGCTCAAATAAGAATATGGAACCTCTTCATCAAGCGCCCATATTACTAATCACTGTGCTACCGAAGAGCATAAGCACACCCTGTAATCTGACAGCGATCACGCGCCGCAGGCCGAGCCCGACCCCACCGTAGGTGGGGCATAGGGCTCGTATTAACTAAATTTCATTCAAAACAACTGCGCCAAGTCGTATTTACAATTAGGCTGAAGTTGTTTTAAAATTACTTTGTATTAAGCACCCGTTTCTTCAGTGAACGCCATATGGGCGCTTTTCTGATACCAACCCTCTAATATAGAAATAGAATAGAAATAGAAATTATTTATTCAATGTAAAGCACAGCACACATACAATTTACAAACAAAACAAAAACAAAAAATAGAAGAAAGAAAGATAAGGGAGACAGGATGTGTGCTGTGCAGTCACTGAATCCGTCATCCACTCAGCTATTGGCGTCTCACTGAAAGTGTGGTACGACGCTGATTTTCAGTGGATTCGGCGATGATTCGTGCGGCACGGAACACAGTGGACGTCAGAAATATACAAATTGAAAATTAAAATTAACAAATATATTTTTTTTCTTTGTATGTTATTTTTATATGTTGTATATTTATCCAAACTTTAAATTGTATCAATTTATATATATGGCATCGACCTGCGTGGAGAGCAGTCATAACAGTGTTCGACAGTCTTATCACTACAATATAATACTCGGTGCGATTTTTCAAACAAAGAGTCTTAACTTTACCAGCGACTTAATCTTTGTCGTCGTTATAATTATCAATACAAAGATCGAACACTAGAAAAATTCCTTCGACCTGTCAGGACTCGATCTTGTATCTGTAATGCCAATCTAGGGAAACTTTGCACCCCCGCATGTAATAGCCGCGTTTCTTTATGAGTCGCATTTTACTCGCCTTCCTTAAGGTAACTTCTCGCTTTTTTCTATATGACAAAAAATATACCTACTATACTACAAGCTAGGAATTTCCAAAGTTCATAAACTTTTATTTTGCTTATTTTTCATCGTTTTAGAAATGTTATACCTTAAAGAAACTGAAATTATATACAAGAAAAAGCCCTCAGGGCGAACCTACTTTTGCAAGAAGGTACGCCACTAAGGCGCAATGAAGCTCACTGAGATTTTAATCATTTTTTCAGGTGAAAAGCGTAAACTGACTATCCCATCGTCTCTCGCTTACGGTGAGCGTGGGGCTGGCAACGTGATTCCCCCATTCGCCACCCTACACTTCGACGTCGAACTCATCAACATCGGTGACTCTCCTCCAACCACCAACGTGTTTAAGGAGATTGATGCCGACAAAGACAACATGCTGTCTCGGGAAGAAGTGAGTATAGAGTTAGCCTTCAGAAGGATGGATACAGACGGCGACAAAGAGTTGTCCCGAGAGGAGGTCAGTTCCTAAACTTGGTGCAGGCATGGATCAACGGGTTACGGTTTTCTTCTTATTTTCTTTACCTATTATGTATTTAAGTATCTACGTATTTACTTTTAATTACTTAAAAGAATACCCGATGGAAGTGAAAGGCAGATTTTATAATTTCTTACTTTATACGTCAAAGATTTTTGGTGAATCCCAATGTTCACAAGTAATAATAATAATAATTTAGCTTCTCCACAAATTTTTAACACACATATAAATAAATTGCGCACTACATTGGACCGTAGATATAAAATTTCCAGACATTCGAAAATGTGTACCTAACTCGACTTTTAAGGCACACCCCTGTACAAGCGTCTAACTTTCCATTACAAAAAAGTGCTGTTATCTTTTTGCTGTGATATTGACAAGTACACCTACCCTTTAATGCCTTCCAAATTAGTTTTTGTGTTAACCTAAATAACTGCATGAAACTAACTTGCACGCAGAGCCATACGCGAATGTACAAACAGTCGAAATTCCCCTAAATTTAACCTTTACAAGGTCCTACTTAATATTAAGTACATAACATTATGCAGTAATGATGTTGGGTTAGATACGGTCAAAAAAAAGTGACTGGTGACCACTACAAAGTACACAAATTGAAATTGTTGATATAGGAGGGGATGAGCATCAAATTTTGTTTTGAAAAAAATCAACAATTGTCGACTTTCTTACTTACATAAATGGGCAATTCGTACAAAATCTCGAAATTCTTGTTTCTTTAGGTTTATAAAAAGTATTTGATTGTACTTCAATTGCTACTAATGCCTACATAACATAATTGATTATTCTATTTAAATAAAAATAATAATAATATAAAAATGTCCCTAAAATCATTCCCTCATTATGTTCCAAGTTCCATAACCAAACACAATATTATTTGTGCCCCAACCAAAACAAATCATTCCCTCACACTTTTACCTTCATTCCATTTGTGAACGCATTTTTAAGCTTTGATAAATGCAAATGCAATGCGAATTTGAAACTTAGCAGCACTGTTAACGTTTCGAAATGATGAAATTCAATTTGTGCGTGTAAATAGTTTCTACAACAAAAAGATTTCATTTAAAATTCTAAAAGTCGCATTTTTAACAGTGATTTCCTCACATCATATAAAAAGAAGTTAAGCATTTGATTTTATTTATTAATTTTACATTTAAAGTAGGTCAATGCTTAAATGAGTTATTGATAGCAGTGAACTTGCACAAAATATTAAGTCTAAAAGTAAGTTTATATCGCTATTTTTACTTCTGGTCTATTACGACTTTGGTACGACTGGTCTATTTTAATTGGTTTATTTTAATTTCGTCATTCCCTCACCCTCAAATGTTCTCACTGTTATAGACAAACGTATAGAACAGTCAGAACATTGTATCTGTCAATTTACTATCTTACTAGGTATCATTGTAGCCAGTCACGCCAGTTGGCATGCGATTCCAAGAGCAGGTCTCTAACTACTCGTAGGGCTATGATATGTGTAGATGTTTCAACATCAAAATCTAATGTTAGGACATCAATTTGAAATGATACCGATACGTATTTTAGTACTGACAAGACACATACTCGCGAAGGCACGCACACAAGTACGCTCGCACTAAAGCACGCACGCACACATGTACGAACACACACACACACGCACGGGCACGCACGCACGCGCGCGCGCGCGCACACACACACACACACACACAATTTAGTCTGTCTTTAGAATTATCTTACCTACTTAGACTCTCACAATGTACATAACAGTACGAAACTCTGTATTTTAGTCTTAAGTAACCCTTATGAGAGTAATAAATTATCATTCATTCATTGTATCTCAAAAGTCACTTGTTATGGGGACTTAGTAGTCCCCTAGCCCTATGTATAGTTACATAGGGCGCACTATAACTTTCCGGAACTGGCCACTTACATAAACAATATTTAAAAAGTAATTACAACATTTTAAAATGGAACTCTTTGGCTGTAGAATACAGTTTGTTCCATCTGACTGTCACTTGTTTTTACTGTGTGGCGTCATTTTAGCCAAAAGGCTGAAGAATACAGTTTGTTTCATCTGACTGTCACTGGTTTTTAGATTGTGCGTCATTTTAGAAATTGGTTGTCTACATCACCATGTAAATTCACTCGTGAAAATTTTCGTAGTATGATTTTCTACGATTTTAAGTGTAATTTAACAGCTCAGCGGAGCTTCGCTCGGCTTCAAACTGCTTTTGGCGATGAAGCACCATGCAAGACGATTATTTATAGCTGGTATGCAGAATTCAAACGCGGTTGTGTGAATCTCAGTGATGACGAATTTCGTGATGGTCGCCCGTCCTCTGCTTTGAACGAACACAAAAAACATCGATGCTATGCGCCATATGAACAAAAAAATGGCATGTGACATACCATGAGATTCGGGCATCTTTAGACAGAGGCATGAGCCAAATACAATCAATACTACACAAACGTTTGGGTGTGAAAAAGCTGTGCTCTCGGTGGATCCCACACAATTTGACTGAGGCTCAAAAAACGGATAGCGTCATTTGGGGTGCAATGCAAATGCCATGCTTACCAGATTCAACGAAGGGGCGTCAAATTTGGTGTGGGATATAGTAACAGGTGACGAAACATGGATTTATAGTTACAATCCCAAAACAAAGCAGCAATCGAGAGTATGAGCTGAAACCAACCAAAGTGGCGCGCTTGGAAAGTGCCTCTTAACGGATGATTGCTCCTTTTTTTAATAAAACTCGGCACGTGGCTACTGTTGCTTTGGAGAATCGTTGTACCGTGAATAGTGATTGGTACACGACCATTTGTTTGCCGGAAGTTATTGACAAACACCGTAAAAATAACCGTAAACACCGTATCATCTTGCACCACGATAATGTCAGTTCTCACACGGCCAGACAGACAAATGGATTTTTGAAGGTGAACAACGTTGACCTTATGAGCCATCCCGCGTTCAGTCCCGACCTGGAATCTTGTAACTTTTATTTATTTCCAAAAATTAGGAACCAGTTACGCGGTCAACGATTTTCATCACCTGAAGAGGCTGTAGAAGAGTATGAAAAATATATTTCAGAGATTCTCACGGAGGAATGGCATAAATGTTTTCAAAATTGGTTCATTCGTATGAAAAAGTGCATTAACGCTAACGGGGAATATTTTGTGAAACAATAAATTCATTTCTGACCAATTATAGTATTTTTTTCTTATTCATTCCGGAAACTTATAGTGCGTCACACGTATCATCAAAAATTGTTAAATCATAAGTTCTTTTACAAAAAATAAATACAAATCTAGGCTTAGGTACTTCTGACTTTCGTGGGGAGTGAGTCCTCCTTATGAAGTAGGTTACCTTACCTACTAGGGCAGTTATCGCTGTCGTAGCTAGTAAATCACATGCCGATTCCGATTTCTAAATACGTATACGTATTTATCATGTTACGTAATGATAACGTGTTTCCGATTTAGCATGCGCTGTAATGTTGATAAATTTTGAAACGTTTTACGATTTCCGGTCCTTATATGTACATAATTGTTATTTTCTGATCAAAGCTAAAGTAAAGCAACTATTGTAAAAAGATCTAATTAACGGATGCCGTTGCATGTTCAGTCTATCCTTAAAGAACGTAACTCCTGAACTAACCTAACAGTCCGTAATTTTCCGGTAGCATTGTTTTTCTCCTATAATGAATCAGCTAAAGCTTTTCTAATAACCTAACATACTTCAACGTTTGTTATGTGAAATACTTTAAGTAAGTGTGTTTAGGTGTAAATAAATGGTATAATTATAAACCGTTTTTTTGTGTAGGTAAGCGAGTACCTGAAGAAGCAAATCGTACCTCCTGAGGGTGGCGAGATGAGCGACGACATTAAGCAAATGCTCGAAGGCCACGACAAACTTGTCGAAGAAATCTTCCAGCACGAGGATAAAGACAAAAATGGTTTCATAAGCCACGAGGAGTTCTCAGGACCAAAACACGATGAGCTCTAAATCAATTACATATATTATCTTCTTTTAGGCCAAGTTATAATTGGGAGTAAAAGACGAGAGTGACGAGTGTTATTGATGTTTGTACCTCTAATGTAATGTTCAAAATTCTGTTGTATGCTCACTTTAGCATGACCAAGTGATTAGTCGTAATTCTCAAATAGCAAGATTGTAAGCGATCTAACATAAAGTGTATAAGAGTCATTTCTAACTTGTTTTGTTAAATCTTTTGTACTTATATAGTTGACTTATGTTGTTGGTGTATCTATGAAAATGTTTAGTACCTAATTTATAATATTAGGGTAATAAGGCAAACTTTGGCATAATAAACTTATTTATTATTCTCAACTTTTCCAAGTCAGTGTCAAATCGATGTTAAAATGGTAAACTTAAGTATAATTAGGTACTTAAGTGAAATTTACTTTTTCTCACTTTATGTGTACTTTTTAATGATTTACTCCTTGCCTGACATGATCAGTAGATATTTAATAAGCAAAATTGTAATAGTAATGTACTGTAAACGTCACCGGTTAGTTTATCATAGCCATCATGTTAATGCCAAGTACATAGATGTACACGTCATACATAAGTAGGTAAGTACTTACGGTTTCCGTTTAATTTTCATTCCGCTGCGATTCCAATAAAACATATTTACACCTAAAATTGTGTTTCAATCTGTAGTAACATTACCTGAAAATGCTTTTCGAGATCCGTGCTCTATGTTGAAATAAAATAAAAACAATAAGTTACATTTTATGAGTTTTATATAATGAAGTTATGACCTGTTTAGTTTAATTTTATATCAGTACCTAGATGTTCACTCTGTGCTGTGCCTTCAGCCATACTAATTTGGGTAATATCGGCAACTAATAAAAGCCAGTAACGTGTGCATGCGCACATGATGGCAAATTACTGTTGGAGTTTAAAAAGGAACTGTACAAAAAATAATTTAAGGATGTCACGGAAAAGAAGCTTCAGCAGTGTATACTATAGTGATTTAGTTTCATTGATGACCCTCTCTTTATCTTTGTATACCTATTGCCTATAAATATAATACTTTCATAATTATAACGAAAAAACATCCATGTTTAGTAGTTTTCTCTTATCCATGATTTTTCATAAAATAGTATAGTAAGAATAACGTTCATAAATACGTTATATCTTGAAAGTTTGAGCTTTTGGGCTAGAAACAATGCCATATTTGAATTCAATTCAGGGCGTGAAATTCATATCAAATTAGTTGCAAATACCACGACACAAACAGCTGTTGGCCTGAATCATCCCCAAATTTACTTACAACTACTCGCCATGTCGTCATGCAAAGAAGTTTTAACAAGCTCTCTTAAAAAAAAATTCAATTTCTACCATAAGTACGACCACGCCTGACCGCAACTCTATCTATCAGATAAGGCAGTTTAGGTATCTGGAGTATCACTGCCTAAAAGAACGTTTATTACACTATCCGATTTCAAGCGACTAACATAGGTAGGTGTAATAAGAATTAGGAAGTTAGGACCCAAAATAGCGCCACGCCATATAAGTGAATAAGAGCGGTCCACGCCCACCCTTGACTTAGGGCTTTTAAAATCGGGCAGTGTAATAAGCGTTTTAGATCTTAGAGCATATTAGTACTACACGCAAAATAATACTAAAATTGAAGCTACACAGAGAAAATTAGCATGGCCCCTTGCCAACACCGGTTACATTTTTCTACAAAATCAATTTTAACAAATTAAAGTACCGACAGCGATATCTATGTTTAAGTACCGAACGAGAATGACAGCTAACCATACTCAATAATAAACATATTACATAGATATCGTGTACACTGCTCAACGTTTGATACCTAGCATTGTCAGCATATTGGGCACCCGGCATTTTTTTCCATCCTCTAAGAAAAAAGGATCTAATTTCGTACATTTTATCGAGCAGATAAATAGTATTAAAATTGTTAATGTATCATAGTCACAACCCCAGATAAGTGTGTTTCTAAATGGTTTCTAATAATCGTCATACGAATTGGCATCAGGTAAGTTAGACGAACATTTGAGTTGATAACCTTCTTAGAAAAGTATACAATAAAATACAAAATGTTTTTAGAATATACTGGAGCCGCGTGGTTAAGCTCAGGAGTGAACACAAAAAATCGAAATCAAATACACTGTAAATTAATGTTTTCAATGAGCTCTTTACTTCTATCTAGGTTGATAACAAGTCCATCTCAGAAACGGTATGAAAAACATGAAGTAGTTTATCTCCAAGACGTTTTGAAGAGCATTTGGAGTTGGGTCAACCTTGATATACATTATTTATCTTGTCAATCAGCTACCCTGGGAGGCAATCAACGAAGTTAGGAATAAAATTTGGGAGTAGCCTGTAAAAAGAATAATAAACTGGTCCAACAAATACTTAACTTAATCCAAAAGGGATGAGGGCATAATTGAGGAATTTCACGTCAGCAGGAGATGATTTAAACTCAACTGCAAGTGGCTAACTAAATTATGCACAAAATTTTTGAACATTTACACTGTTTACACTTATTAATAGCACATTTTTTAAATCTGAAAGGACAATTATGTAACGCTATAAGTTTTTTGTTTTTACCTCTTACATTCAAATACATACGAAAACTTTTTATTTTATCAGTTAATTACAGAAACGTAAAAAGTGATAAAAAAAACCATTTTTGTATTTAATATACTTTAATTAAATTAGTACACAGCCAGGAAATCACGAAAATAGATGCAATAAAATCACTTTTTCAATTAATCTAAAACATAAATACATTCTTCGTCTTCGATCAAAATTAAGGGTGGTTCTCGCGAATCGTGTTTTTCTACAAAATATAATTTTGAAGGCTCATATTATTTACGTTTTGAAGTTTTATTTAGAGAGAATTATAAAATAAACTTGTATATATCCTAAAGCCACATAAAAAAAAAAGCAGTTACATACGCCGACTGTTCGCAGAGATGCAAACGCGATGCATTAGCAGTATTAGCACAACGCGCAGCGCGCGATTGCACTGATTGCAGCAATGTAAAAGCGACGCAATCGCCGTTTGTATCTTTTGTATCAAAAATCATTAAAAAAAACAAAACAAAAGTTGACTTAAAAGTCATCGTGAAGTATGCAAAGCCATAAAAACTATTTGCAGTAAAACACGGAGGTTAGTGCAGTAAAAACAAATTCTTTGAAAATTACATGGATGGAAAAAGGAAATATATTATAACTTTTATAAATAAAAGACTAGACAAAATTTTGTCTTCGGTGTAAAATCCTTCAAGACTTCGGAACTCGGAACAATTTGCACTGAAGAAAACGAGAAACTAATGACTAGGCAGTATGGTCTCTGAAGTTCGCCTGTGTCATGCGGAACGATGGATAATAAAAAAAAATTGTTTTGAATTGTAGGTTTCTGTTTTGGGTTGGGGTGGCATGAATATTCTTAATGTGAAATTCAATTGGCAAAAAACATTAAATAAAAAAAAATGTTATCTAATAAACGCCTCGTGGCCGTTTGTGCCATTGCCTTCTGCTGCAACATAGCTGGTTTGGTCCTCTTCATGAAATACAACTCTGGGGAGAAATGCTATGCTACGATCGACGAACAGCAAAAGGTAACTGTTATCCTACCGGATGATTTCCTTAGTTTCGGGATAGATACTTCAGAAATTCAGGAGGATAACAGAATAGATTTTCGTCAGACTCGACTTCGAGAATTGGCAATGGCGCTTGCACCTGCACGTTTGCGGCTCGGCGGTACCATGTCTGAGCGCCTCATTTTCAGCCGAGAGGACATCCCGCAGGTATCATGCGATCATTGTCCTTCTAACCTAACATCCAAATCTACCTGTCATGCTGTCAAGAAGCTGTGCAGGCATAAGTTTTTACCCTTCTTTCTTATGAGTGGAAGTAAGTGGAACGAGATCAATGAATTTTGTAAAGCTGCACACCTTAAACTGTTGTTTAGTTTTAATGTTCTCCTCCGAGAACATCGCAATGAGTGGAGTGACCAGAATGCCATAGATATCATCAATTACTCTAAACAGAAAGGGTATCTTGTTGACTGGCAGCTGGGCAATGAACCAAACTCTTTCCAACATGTATTCAATATTACCATCAGCCCTCATAGGCTTGCTAAAGATTTTGTCAAGCTACGGCATATTTTGAATGAAAATGGATACAGAAATTCATTGCTGGTAGGTCCTGATACCACAAGACCCCAAGCACACCGTCCAGAATGCCTAGAGTACATGGTTCAATTTTTAGGAAATGTGTCTCATCATATTGATGTAAGGGCTTGGCATCAATATTACCTTAATAGCAGAACTGCCAAACTAGAAGACTTTTGGAATCCAGATACATTCGATTTACTAAAAGAACAAATAGAAACTATGAACAGACACACAAAAAGTTATACCCATATTCCCATGTGGTTGAGTGAAACAAGTAGTTCATATGGTGGAGGAGCACCAGGGCTATCAAACTCATATGGTGGGAGTCCCCTGTGGCTGGATAAACTTGGTTTGTCTGCTAAAAATAACATCACTACAGTAATTAGACAGAGTTTCTATGGTGGAAATTACAGTCTTATTGATAAGGATCTTGAACCTTTACCAGACTGGTGGGTGAGTGTGCTCTACAAGAGAGTAGTAGGAAATAAGGTTTTGCATATAGATTGCAAATGTTCACGCTTCCAGAGAATGTATGCACATTGTGCCAATAGAAAATATACAAATGATACCACTGCTGTAACTGTGTACGCCATCAATTTAGAAATGGCTAAAGCAAGATTCCTATTAAATGGTAGTGCTTTACATGGAGATAATCTGTCTATTGATGAATATATTATCAGTGCTCCTTCAAACAATAGAAAGAGTAAGACAATATTGTTGAATGGCTGGCCATTGTATTATGAATCGCCCAAACTTGATCTCCAACCACATCAAATAAAGTATGGTAACCATATTTCAATGCCACCATACTCAATTGGATTTTGGGTGATTAAGAACACATCCATAAAAGTTTGTAAATAGGTTCAATATATTTTCATTGTGGTGCCTCTATTGTGAATTTGTGTGTGACATTCATTTTCCATTGTATCAAATATCTTCTGTCATCACATTCCAGTGAGATTATCTATGCTAAGATTTATGAGATCAATACAGATTGTAGAAATGTTAGAATATAAAAATGTACGAATTTCTATAACATTGGTAACCTTGGTAGTTTAAGCACAAAGCATCAAGGTCAAGATGTGGCATTTTATATACATATAGCATTTGTACCTATACATATTGAAGTTGACGCCCTTTGTTTTGTTGCCATATATAATGAAAGAAATATAGAAAGTGAAGGATAATTTCGACACCAGGAGTTAACACTATGCTAACTCAGTTTATCAATTTTGCATTTTCAATGCCAAATTATTCACCTGATTTAAATGAATTTGAAAATTAAGAAATTAATACAAAAGTAATACTTAATCATATATTTTATATTTATGATGAATAACTTGTAGTGAAAAGTCATTAACTTCAAACACAATTGTTTGAAAATTAAGTTATTGCAAGTAAAAAATTGCAATTTTTAAGTTAGTGTTAATTGCTCAGGTCGATTTGTTTGCAAGAAAGCATGCCAACAACTTATCTGTGATATGTCGAACAAGGAAATAATTAAGAAAAATATTTAATGAACAATCAGTTATTACTTATTGTATTTAATAGGGGCACTCAACAACAGTGCATTCATTTTATTGCAGATAAGTTGATAGCTCTGGAACATGCTTTTTAAATTTATGTTTTGCAATCAGCTCAGCATCATTATAATATCACTGTAGTTAATGATAATTAATTATGGTAAGTCAATTCAAAGAGTATGTACCTATGTCTTTCTAATTAATTGTTTTATAAATACTTGAAACTAGATTTATTGAATAAGTTTATTTACAGCAACTTGACCAGTATCGTAAATGCATCTCAAGGGTAGGATCAATATTAAAATCTTACTTAAATGAACTTCCTTTATATATGAGTGCACATATTGTTTATGCATAGAATTTTCGCTTATTAATAAATGTTACTTCTCTGAATCATAATCAATATGGTACATGGTCAAGGCCATTTGAGATGGTGTCATGCAAGATGCCGATGATGCAGGTCAGCACAGTACAACTTGTTATATGTCTCGAGATATGAACAACATCTTAGTCGACTCGCGCTCTACTTGGGAGTTATTTATTATGGGAGTTGCCAATAAAATGTGTATGCAAGCACTGTTAAAGTAGACCCAGAATTATAACAAATTCGCCACATTAGTATCTTGAAATAGTAGGATCCTAAATCAATCAAAATATAAGAACGAATATTGGTTAATAACGTCGTCACCACACAGGCTTTTTAAGTTATTTAAAAATTCATACTAATATAAACAATCCAATGACTTCAAGCACCAAGAGAGATGTATTTCAGTTTATTTCCACCTTTAATAGCAATAACAACAAGTAACACTTAATATGTATGTTAAGAATCAAAGTATAATCCAAGCTCTACTGTTAACATTGAACCTATCTTCTATAGTCTACAATAAATACTCTTATATGCTTGGGATTATACCCATAATTATATTTTTGAATGTTTTTTAAATAATTGAATATTCTTGTTGATATGTGGTCCCTCTAGTTTTTTATCTCTTCCACTACTTATACATTTTAAGCAGAGAGGCTTATTTGCAGTTGCTAAATAAATATATATACAGCCTGTATCTTGTTAAGGAATATTATATAAATGACTTTGTATTCAAATGTTGTGACTATGCGGTGCCTATACATAAGACTGATTAGAATAGCAGTAGTAATGATTATGGAGTGCCATTCTCAGATATACCAGTGTAACCCGTACACTTTAGTAATAAGCATTAAGCTGTAACTTGAAAGTAATCGGCATTTTCAAAGTAGAAAAGCAGAAAGTAGTAGTAGGAGACAATTTTGTGGTAAACAGAGTAAAGTAAAAAGTATCGTCTCCACTCTCGTACAACGCAGAGTTGATGCAGTTAACAAAGCAAAAGCGCATTCATTATAATCAGGATGAAAAAACGTTCAGAGATATCATCTGTGACGTCTGCATAATCAATTTGAAATTAAACAATGGAGGGCATTGACTTACAAATAAATGGACGACGGGTCTAATACAAAAACCACGAAAAAAATGTCCCAAGTCAACCTATTTAAACGTAGATTTTAAGACTTTCGTGGTTATTCACTAAATGATTATCACTAGTAACAGGTTTCTTACCACGGTATAACTTCTTTTTATTTTTATTTTCCCGATATTTCGGAACGGTTGCACGCTCCATGTCAACCCGTCAACCCGTGACCATGGAGCGTGCAACCGTTCCGAAAT